GGTAGGTGGGTGGGTGGGAGGGTGGGTAAGTGGGTAGGTAGGTAGGTAGGTAGATAGGTAGGTAGGTAGGTTTGTAGGTGGATGGGTGGGTGTGTAGGTAGATAGGTAGATTTTGCATTKCAGTGCATTGTGGGATGTTTAAGGGYACGAAATACTGTAGACACCATCTTTGAAATGYGTCCCCAAAAAACAGTGCCACAATGCACTGCAATACCAACTCGACCCAGTTTTCCCCTCAACCTCGGAATGGCTAATAGACAAACATCAATAGGAAGAACAAACGAAATGGACATGAAATCGACCAACATGAAAAGTGGTCAAACGATACATAAAAACTTTCAAGTTCCAACATACGAACCTGTCCAAGCGTTCGCGATAACGTTGAAGCCAGTCAAACCAGTTTGGGTGCTTTGCGAGGCGCCTTAGTGCCCATGCCTCCTCGGGTAGGTTATTGCGTTCTATTTGCTGTGTTGTGAGGTTACTGAGCTCTCTAAAGGTCATCGTGTAGTCTGCATGAGTTACTTCCATCATCTAATGAAAACCAACAACAACAGTCATATTGTTGAAAGCCGCTTACGATAGAGGCTTTGCACCATCACGTGATGGCAGCCATGACAGAAAGCACAACAATAGAGTTATTTTCTCCCGGGCCTGCTGTCATGGCTGCCATCACGTAATGATGCAATGGTAACCCTATGAGTAGGAAACAATCATACGGTATGACATGCCGTAACATTGAAATGGCTTTCCATTGCCTTCTAGTAAGTCATCCAATCACTGCGTGTAGATAGTGTAGTTTTGTGTATGACTGTGAAAAGCTCAGTGCCGTAAGCGTGACTTGCCGTGACCGTGATGCTTTCTAGAATTTGAATGGCTGATTTTTAAACGCGCAATATGATTGGTCTTGCATTGCCGTGACCTTGGCGTGACCGTGTCCGCGCCGTGTTTATGCCGTGTTCCGGGTATTTGATTGGATGGAGAGTATATTCTCGTGCGATGTGATTGGTCTGGCGTATCCCTTGCTGTGTCACGACCGTGTTCGTGCCGTGAACTTTTCACGGTCATACGAAAACTGCTCTAAGGTCACGGTAAGATACGGTACAGGTACAGTACAGCTACGAATATGCCGTATCGCTTTCCACGCAAACCAAAAACCGTGACGCTGTTGCGAGGCAAGTCGCAGAGAAAATTGCTCCGAGTAATCGCGCCTTTAAGGAAAGCCTACAAATCATCACTCTTTCCTCTTAAGTCAAACTTATTGGTGAATGGAGTGTGAGAGATAAAAAGTAGCGGTGCACAGACTATAAGTTGATGATGATGATGATGATTATGACGACGATGATGATGACGATGATGATAATGATGATGACAATGATGATGACTGTCCATCCTAATTTACCCAAAGTAGAGACTTGACCAACATATCATCATTCTTTATCTTTCCTTGCAAGCCAAGCTTTTTCCTAAATGCATCATTAAACCTAAAGCAAGTAAAACATTTGTCATCATTTATAAAAATCTGTTAGGCTTTCCGCCCACCATTGAGTGGTATAGTGTTAAGTCCTATTATTTGAAAAAAGAATTTAAAACTGGAGTATAAACTGACTGACCTATTATTGAAAACCTCTGCATATCCTTGGAGAATCTTGCGGCCTCTATGAAGTAAAGAGAACACATATATTACTCCATTCGACTAAACTAAAGTCGAATTTGCCATTCTCTGTCCTTATTTTCATTTTCCCTTTCAACTTAGTAAGTAATAAAAATCCAACGTCTCAGGGAGAAAAAAGCTTTACCTTTTCACATCTAGAAGGGGTGACATCGCATCTAGTAATTTTTCTAGATTGTAGAACCCTATACTTGGCTGATTACGAAAACTGTAGCGCCCTTCGTCGTCAGATGAGTTCGGGATAAAATCTAGAAAATGAATAAAATAGTCGTAACATCTCATAGTTCCCATGTATCTTTGCCTTTAAGATTTGTTGGCCATTCTAGCGAAGGTACTTTTTTCAGTGGGGGAGGGTTTGGGCTTCAGAGGGAAGAGTTATTAGTAATAATTTCTACTTTTTTATTTTTGAAGGTTAATAGGATAGTCATGTGTTTTTTTACTGAGTGAAAGGGGAGAACTATAACCATTTTTTAAAAGTTTACTACGAAACCCACAGCCCTCCCCCATAAGAGTTTTCCGCGATCAGTGCGTACCAAACATGAAAACAGTGGTAAAAGGTATGATATATACCTAGTACAAATACCTGAGTTGTAGTCATCTAGGAATCCAAACGGTCCATAATCAATCGTAATGGACAGTAAGCTAAAGTTATCCGTATTACACACACCTGTCCATGGGAAGATAAAACAAAGAGTAGGTTAGCAAGAGAGCAAGCAATGTGAGTGTTGTCATGGTGATGCATTACCATGAGCAAAGCCAACTGACTGCCACTTTACAATCATCTCTGCTGTCATGGTAACCACCTTGGAATACAATTTCTGGGAGGAAAAAGAAATTATAGATAGTTATTGGAATTATGAAAAATGTACATGTCTGTCATTTGTCTCTCTTGGGAATGTTTGCAGAAAACAGACCTTGAAATAGGGGACAGATCATTTTTTAGCTGGGAGGGGGACTGGCGGAATTGAGGGGAGGTCAACCGAAAAATGTAGGCTCCAAAGTGGGTGGGGGGGAGGGGGCAGGCAAAAAAAGGCCTTGATGAAAGGGTGCTGAGTCCAGGAATCCAACCTGAGGACCCAGAAGTGAGAAGGGGAGTGCACTACCATTAAACCACCCTTGATTCTTCCATACCTCCTGTCTATCTCCCTTCCTCCCACCCTTGATTCTTCCATAACTCCTGTCTCTCTCCCTTCCTTCCACCCTTGATTCTTCCATACCTCCTGTCTCTCTCCCTTCCTCCAACCCTTGATTCTTCCATACCTCCTGTCTCTCTCCCTTCCTCCAACCCTTGATTCTTCCATACCTCCTGCCTCTCTCCCTTCCTCCCACCCTTGATTCTTCCATACCTCCTGTCTGTCTCCCTTCCTCCCACCCTTGATTCTTCCATGCCTCCTGTCTATCTCCCTTCCTCCCACCCTTGATTCTTCCATGCCTCCTGTCTCTCTCCCCTCCTCCCACCCTTGATTCTTCCATACCTCCTGTCTCTCTCCCTTCCTCCCACCCTTGATTCTTCCATACCTCCTGTCTCTCTCCCTTCCTCCCACCCTTGATTCTTCCATACCTCCTGTCTCTCTCCCTTCCTCCAACCCTTGATTCTTCCATACCTCCTGTCTCTCTTCCTTCCTCCCACCCTTGATTCTTCAATACCTCCTGTCTTTTTCCCTTCCTTCCTCGACTCCCATGCTAATCAAAGTTCACTAGATTACTGCCCGGCCATGGCCAGTTGATAATATGCTATTCAAGTGTGATACTCACAAGATACTTGTCTTCATCTTCACCTTGGATGTCAGGAAAGTGATGGTCAATTACGAAGTCTACAACCTTCCTGATGATAGTGTTAAGGGAAATAGTAAGTGAAGTACACACAATTATTACTCGGGCTACCTGTGGTAGGCCGATTCTAGTTTTAGGTTTTCTATCTATCTATCGTTGTAGTCGAGAATCTGCCATGAAAACGAGGCAAATATGAAAACGAGGTAGAATTGAAATCACATGACCACAGAGTCGATTGCCATGTGTAATGAACCCAAATCAACTGAAATGTAACTCAAATGGGACTCAAACGTACTCAAAAGAACAAACTAAGTTTTTAGCAAGCAGGGACTTAATTAATTGAGAACTATTCTGAAGATAAGAGACATGGAGAATATATCCCGAACAACATAGACACCATTTTGGAATCTTTCAAGACACCATTTGATGTATTTTCATAGTCAAGGAGCCTCGGACTTGTATCAATAACAACGAGGTTAAGTTTTTTATGAAATAAATTGTTTTTGTTTACAATGTTGAAGAGTTTCTTCAAACAGTCTATTGTTTGTTGAACTCGTTGACTCAGTAGCGAGTCTGTTGGTCGTTATCTTGTATATGGTTCTGGTGGTACATTTTGTGAATATCTATCTTTAGCTCTGTGCGCAGGCCTGAGCTATTTTGAGGCCCAGTCACTTCCAATCCATTTCAGTCACAACCCATCCATTCCAGTCACATCCAAATAACATCCAATTTATCTTAATAGCATCTTAATGAAGAAAAATTAGTTGTACAAATCTGTTACAATCCACAGAATCACCTATAGACACATGATGTATACAGTCCTTTGAAAAAACTTTGCTGCTGACTGGCTTCACAGGACTTTAACCAGTGCCACAATCCAAAACATAAAAATTATTTTTGCATGTTTTTGCACAATGTTGGAATAGAATCAATAGCTATTTATAATAAAATAAAAATCACAAGATAAAAGCTGCAAATTCGGCGTTAAAAAACGTCTACGTTCCGTACGATCCAGCCAACCGAAGTCCAGTCCATTCCATCTATGTACGGTTCCGGATTTTCCAAAATTAAAAAACACTTAAAATTTGGGTATTTAGAAGAGGAAAACAAGTTTTAGAAGTTGGACATGTTTTTGCTATATATTAAGATTATCCATTGCTTTTCAAAAGGTGAAAATTCAAAACTTTTTTTTGTGATTCAAGTTCCAGTCAAAGTCATTTTCTACTCATCTATCCATTTATTTATTCTAACATTTATTGATCCGTCTATTCATTCACTATCCATTCATTCAACCATTTTTCCCCCCTTTTTTTTTTTTTTTTTTTTTTTTTTTTTTTTTTTTTTTTTTTTTTTTGATCATAATTTAATGGTAATTTTTTACCTCAATAAATCTGTTTCTTCATGTCTGGTGAGAATTTCCAGAGACCCAATCCTAAACCATGACTTGGCAAGACGAAGCACTACAGCAGCTAAAATTTAGCATGGGCACAGAAAAAAACACAAAAACATCAGAATTTGAAGGAAATAATTTTAAAATACCTGATGATAAAAACTCATTGCCTCTAAAAAAAGGACCCACTCAGGTGATTTACATTTGAAACACTTTGGATTTTTTCATTATATTGTCAACTCTCTGAATGTTCTATAATTGATCAAGATATGTGGTATATTTGTGAATGGAGCCTGTTGCTGACACCATCTGCAAACACACAGCCTCTTTTGCAAACTGGAATAAATTCTTTTTTTCTCTAGCTGTATATGAAAAAACAGCTTTTTCTGCCTATAGTTCTTGCTGCTCTCCACACCTACTTTTTCTTTTTGGCAGTTCCTAAGTCCTGTATTACTGAAAGGAGCACAGACCCATTTCCTTCCCCCTCACACACACACACTCTCTCTATAATCACCAGAAGAATAAAGAAACATTTTATGTACCTTTTTCTTGTTTGGGATGTCCATCATAGAACATGTCCCTCCAGACTGGATCTTTGCTTACAGCTATGCTGAATTTCAAAGGACATATTTTTAGTTTTATTATATAGTTTGGGTGTATTTTCCCATTTGTCTTGAGAAAAAGTATACACTGTTTGATTTGAATCTATATTCTGTTCTCTTTTCATGTGCAACTGTTAAACAAAGTAATGATACTCTAGGGAATGACACGTGGTTTGAATGAAAAAACATAATCTCCAAGTCACTACATATATCTATGAAGCTSGACCTGCGAAGTTTAATGTCTTATTTACCGACTTGCATTTCAATGACTGTCAATGTAAGGACAGCAATAAAAAATATACATAATGAGGGAGATTTAAGATTTAAGAATTGGAGGTTTCAAGTCCATGTCCAGTCCATTTGTATTTATGAAGCTGTTAAACATGTACTTTACACTGTATCTATCTTTAATCCTTCCTGGTATCAGCTTTTTAGCTTTTAAGTTACTACCTCACTGAAATGAGCATAATATATATGTGCATGCTGAGCATTGCCCATTCCTTTAATGTTGCCTTTGAAAGGTTGATCAATGCTTAGTCACAAACTGTAACATTGTCGCTACTAACATAACATTACCTGGCAGCTCTGCTGGTTGGAATACCAAGATGATGCATGGCTTCACTAGCAAGAAATTCCCTGATTGATGACCTTAGTACTGCCCTACCATCACCATGTCTGTAAGAAAAACAATGTTACTCTCATATAARGGTAGTGTTGACTGGGAGAAAAAAATCATGAAATAGATGAATAAATGCTACCATATCATGTGAAATTTCAACTTACCTTGAATATGGTGTTTTTCCTGACCCTTTAAGCTGTAATTCCCACCTCTCACCTTTGCTATGAAATAAGATTACAAATATTGAATTAGATTACTGCACTTCTAGAAAATAAAAAGACCTGTGCAAGAAGACCAATAAAATATACATATAAATATCTATGGAACTATTATTATCAACAAAAATGAGTTTAATCTAACCTGTTGACATAATCCCCTAGAAGAACAGCTCTTCCATCTCCTAACTGACCAGACCACTCACCAAACTAAAAGAAAGACAATTTAAAACGTAATTTAACTTTGGCAGTTTTTGATATTCTGAGAACTCAGAAGTTGAAGTGAAATTGTTTCTTTACTGCTGCCAGTCAAGAACATGAAAAGTATCGACTGATTATCTTTGATTAACAGCAGCAAAAAAAACAAAAAATTTCAGTGTGCATTTTGCAACTACCAAGTTCACAGATTATTGAAAATCAGAGTACCGTAAATGTGGTACACATTATTCAATTCAAGACTTCACCGTTATATATTCACCACTTTCCATACGATGTTTCACTTGTGAAACACAAAGCAGTCAATTGAGGCTGCATGATTCTAATTTGAATAATCATTTCAAGCAGGCTTTTTGAATGCTTTGTGCGTGACCAGTGAACCAATTCTTCATTTGCACGTTACGTCATCGCAGCCATGTTGGTACCATTTAACAAAAAAATTCTCATTAGCATCTATTGTTAACGGTACCACAATGGCCGCCATGTTTTTGTCTTTTAACTCTCTTGGGAATGCTTGCAACCCATCAACGAATGGAAAATGGTAAAGGAGTTTCAGGATAGGTTGCTACTTTAGGTAGCTATTTTAGGTAGCAAGTGGTTCCTTAAATTGTTTATTATAATTCTCAAAATCGTAACAATTAATCTGCAAATCAGAGGGCACAAATAAAGTTCTATTCTATTCTATTCTACAGCCTCCCTGTAAACATAGATTAACACATCTAATATGATATTAGTACCTGGTGTCCACCATAGCGATGAGCAAGAGGAACTGAATGATTAATCAGTCTATTACCAGACACAAAGTCCAAAAACGTATCAGACTGTCCGACAGAATTGAAGTCAATGTCCAAAATATTTTCAAAAACATCCTGGGAGATTGCAACAATACTAGGTCTTGTCCTTAAAGAAGTCGGATCAACAAATGAAAACACTGCCCTTCTAACTTGCCTTACGTAGTTTCGTGTCTCTAATTCAATTGGAAAAGATTCTAAAAGTAAATTTGTTTCGTGAAATTCCCAGCTTTCAAAGTTTACAAGTTTTCTTTCCAAGCAGATGGTTTTGTTTCTAAAGTGCTCTAGAATTGTCTTACTATTTTTACAAGATTTAGGTAAATGCTGTCTACCGTTAGCGAAGGCTGTGTTTAAAGTACAAATAAGATTCAACAAGAAAAGCGTTCCTATTTTTCTAGGCCTATTTTTTGTTCGCGTGGTTTTTTTCGAAGCTCTTTCGTCCGCCATCTTTACATAGCAACCAGGCCTTCACATCTTTACCCAGGAACCCCATTAATAAAAACATCTTTTGATGGCTGTAAATACAGAAAGAAAAAAACAGGCAAATCTTTTAGTGCATGTCACCAGAGTTAGAGGTCAAATATTTTCAGACTTATTCATTAGCAATATTTTGACAGGGCAGTCCAATTCAGCTTATTCTGGTTTAAATGGAGGCCTGTAAAACGTCAAAAGACGCTAAAATATATAGTTAAAACTTATCTTCGAAATTGATGCTTTGTTTATAGCAAAGAATCTTTGTTAATAACGGCTCTTTATTTTTTACCCGAAATTGATTTTTCATTGCACATTCAAATTTTAGCTCGCGGCTTTTTGGTCAGTGCTTATTAACTTCCCTATTTTATTTCATTCCTAATTTCTAATTTTTATTCATTATTATTTATTAAAAAACACTTCACTTCCTTCATTGACGAGCTTTTGACAAGCACATTACCTAGCCTTTTTCATCTTTTCACTTTATAGCAATGCAATTAAAGTCCCCTTTCCTCCCTCTCTTCTCATTACTTCTCCCTTAACTCGGGTGACACATTACCACATTCAGTTACCACCTTGCTGAAGACTCGAGTTAGATATTTTCCACTTAGGTGTGAAAAAACGAAGAGTAAAAACACTCTTGAGATCAAGAAAAAACGAATTAAGTGGTCCAATTACGAGAAGTTTGGCAGCTTCATTCCAGAGTGTCCTTATGATTTCAAAAGTGGAAAGGCTCCAAGATGGTCTCACTTCAAGAAAAAACACTCAACGTTGTAACTAGAAGTCTATAGTTCTAATGAGCTACAATAGAACATTGTCAATTTACCCCAATTTTTCAGAAAGGTGTAGCGTATAAGACCTTTAACTGCCCCTTATCACACGTCGTGTAAAGGGTTGATTGATGCTCGCGTCCTGCTGGTAATGGCCTTTTGATGTGGACTTCAAAGGCCCGAAAGCACTTAAGCAACCGGTTATTGGGTTATATAGATGGGCAATGAGCCACATAGGACGATAGTTTGRACCTTACTCTGATGGTTTCGCAGCTGGAAAACACTATCTGACTATTGTTTGCTATTACATGCAGTTCATCTTAAAGATTGCTATAAAAGCTCTTTGTGATAAATAGATTAGAACTTCACTCGCATTAATACATACATACGTACCTACATAGGCCTCTCCACTATTAGCGAGGTCTTATCTAACAGTTAGCCACTCACAAAACTAGACAAATGTTTTAAACAATGAACAAAAATGAAGACAAAAGGTCTAATTTTATCATACTTGCTTTAATAGATAATGTTTTGAGTGAAAAAGGCTTTTAGATATAAATTCAACTAAATCGACAAGAATTGATTTTCGTTTCAATCAACGACAGAGTCAAAAGATTAGTCCCAGCAAGGTTAACATTTTAAGAAAATGTTAATTTAGAAACTGTTAAAAATATATAATTGAAAACCATTTTAGTGAAATTTGAATATAAATTAAACAAACACCTTAAATTTTTTATTTATTAAAGTGAAAATATTTTCCCGCCAAAACTAATATCGATTAACTTGACGACATGACATCACGCTACAAAGCTGCCAAAAAAAATGTTCAATTCTTTCATTTAAAATAGAAATGATTAATTTTCGGTTTCGGTATTTTTTAAAGATACTAGTGATTCAAGGTAATAAAACTTTCGCATATCAGGACTGACTGACTTAACACCTGCATTTTATTAGAAGCCTTCCTTCCAAAACAGCACTAAACAGTAAAAAAAAAWTTTTTTTTWAATTTTTTTTTTACTAAACAGTAAAATGGTTCCTGGTTTCTAACTAGCCAATGTAGTTAAGGTTATCTTTTCATTATTTTTAGGAATCTTGACGACATCGAAAGGATATTTGTGGAATAGTCACTTTTAGTTCATTGATCGATGTTATTGAATGAGCCATGACGTGCAGCTTAAGTGCCCACAGTCAAAATAACATTACGGGACCCCTTATTTTTATATGACTGAGTCAAACAACCTGGTTAAAACGATCAAAGACTGACGTACACGATGTCAATGATGTCAACAGATATGCGTACTTAAACACATCGATATACTAGAAATACGAAGGGGAAAAAGAAACTTATTTATTTGTTTCGTCATTATATAGATGAATAATAAGATAGATTTGTGTCATAAACAGATGTTAGAAGCTGGTAGGGATAGGCAGGTTGTTGGGAGGATAGACAAAGGGGTCAATCGGCGAAAGAAGCTATTAAAAGGAAGGTGACTGAATGGGGAAAAAATGAAAGAAAAAATGAAAGAAATGGATGAAGAAAGAAAAGGAAATGTGGAAGACGAGAAAAAAGAAGGGGAAAAGGAAGAATGAAATCACAAATAAAGAAGGAAGGAAACAAAGAAAAACTGAAGGAAAAAAGAAATGGATGGAGAGAAGAAAAGAAAGAGAAGAAGAAAGGTGGTAAAAAGAAAAAAAGAAGAAACGAAAGAAAGAAATAGGGAAGGGAGGAAACGAAAAGCGAAGAGGTTTTTTGAAGCTTTCATTGAAAGAAAGAAAGAAAGAAAGAAAGAAAGAAAGAAAGAAARAAWKMAAAAACGGTTCAAAAACCTTCTGCTTTTAGTGACTATGATGTATCTGTAGCTGCAAACAAGGAGTATTTAACTACCCTGTGAACTACTGTGCAATGCGTTGGTGTAAAATAAACACTGACGCGCGAGAGAGGAAGTACGTAAGTTTGTTCACCGTTAATAATAACAAACAAGTAAAACTGAAAACTAACCGATAGCAGACTAATGATTGTTTTTTCTTTGAAAGATCACACCACAATTGTTTTGCATTTTCTTCAAAATGTGGTTGATCGAGTTTGTATGCGCGCGAAATCATGAGATAATTTGTCTTTGTTTCTCATGAAATAATACCTACCTATATAATCCATTGTAAATAGTTATATATATTTCAGATAGTAATAATAGTTTTAATAGCAATAGTAATAGATTTTTTATTATGTAACGATATGTATACTTTCTCAAAAAAACAATGTAAATTCAAAACTTAGGACACCCTTTGTAAGAGCATCGAGGCCTTTAAAAACTCTCAGGAAAATCATCATAAATTATTATTATTATTATCATTGTTATCATTATTATTATTATTATTATTATTATTATTATTATTATTAGAAATATGTCCAATAAAGGAACTGAACTTTGACTCTCAGACAAAGGACAATATGTACTGGTTTTGAAGTCTCACGCAAGTATGCGTGCATCTGATAAAGAAGTTCATAGGTTCCCTATCAATCGATCAAGGTACGAAGCTATTTGATGCTCTACAAGTCAATTAATAACTACTCCTTGATGTAATTGACATCTACATTTCGGAAGAGTGGCGTGTGCGCTGTAAATCAATTCTTAAGATGTCGACAATATGTCAAATCTATGGCTTAATTATAAACTCTTACAACTTTAATTTAAAATTGGGAATATCAAGTTAAATGGGTCGGAGGTATTAGAAGCGCATTAATTTTTTTTCTAAACAGCGGGGTTCCTGTGGATTACTCTACCAGTAAGCAGCGCTCGTTTCACGGGAAGTGGGTCGTTCCAGGCAGATGGTTATTTGAGGCCCCAAAGGGCATGCGCGCTCATTAAAGCCAAATGCGCGCGACAAACTCATTAGTGCAGCCTATAAAGGYGTGAGTGTTTAGGGTAATCTAAACACAGCTCACTGAACAAAGTTAGAGACAAGTGGACTGAAGAGAAGTCAAGACTACAATAGATATGAGTAAAGGTTAGTCAACATTCCGTAACTCTATTGATTTCTATGTTTCTTAACTTCGCGAAACTCTAGGTTTCCAGCAAACTGGAAGGTTTTTGTAGATAGCTGATGAATGCGCACGCTGTTTTAGTTAGGTAGACGAGAGAGAGAGAGAGTAGCTTTAACCAGTTCTTTGGACACACAGATCAATGGACACACACACCATCATTTACCTGTAGTTCGAACTATCTATCTAAACCCCAATCAAGTTTATATATATCCCCGTCATTTAATATTTAACATTGCATTATAATCTTTGTGTTTCGATAAGCTTGTTTTCATATCTTTTTTTAAGCTTAGTAATTCCTCAATAGAGCGATGTAGTAACATAACGAGGTTATTCTTGATACCTCCGTCAATGCCGAAGGGTAAAACAAATCGTTTTTCTTATTTACTTCTTTTTAAACACTACAAGCAAAATTGCTTACGTGGTCCATATATAAATATACGGAAATTTATAGTTGACGCTGACCTAACTTTTAGTTCTCTCGAAGCATGAGAAATAATGCAAATTTGGTCTAAATAACAGCATGTATATACAGAATTTTAACACCCTGACACGATGTTCAAAGCCCTTCAAGAAGGTCGAACTTCACAAGTTTAATGTTTGAGATATTTTTTATCAATTCTATTGTTTTTTAGCGGAAGGAAGAAATATTCCAACAGCAAAGATACCATCGCCTCGTATTGCAGAACAACCTTACAGAAAGAGCACATGGAAGTTTACGAGTCAGGAATTGGTTTCCTCACTCTACGGATATTTTACAATCCAAGATGATTCCCTAACTCTAGACAAGGAAGTAGGTTCTCCAGGTAGGTAAAAAGGATTTGTGGGTTTATGGAGGAGAAAATTTCTACCTTTATTTGGGATTCTAATCCCAAAAAAATCAAGATTTGTTTACARATAAATCGCCAAAACAGCTTTCTTTATTGATTTAAGGCATTGTGTAGCAGAAAGAACTCGACATTCAGCAATTGGTTTTTGTTCTTTATGTAGTAATTACAACTAGTACAGGCTTCACTGACATCGAACAATAGAGACAACAAGAACGCTAAGCCAGGACATCCGCTTCAAAAGGGCCTAACGAACTTAACCAAAAATTATACAAGCAGTTTTCACGCGAGATTTGAGTCCCTCGGGAAACTTTCAAAAGCCAAGAAGAAAGGCATTCTATGTAAAAAAAATTCGTTGTGTTGGAAAAAGTAGAGTATTGTACTTGCTTCTAAAAGCATAAATAAACAATATTATATCTTCGACATTCAGTCATTGCGAAAAGACGCTTGCACAAATAAGAAATACGAAAATGGCTTTCTTAAATTYTTATTTAAGGTATTCATGGAATAGGTTGTGTAGCGGAGAGCCCATGGAGTTTATTTACTGAATACACAATTTACTGATAAATTTAAGTGTCCTTTGTCCGCGTTATGAATAAAGCAATACAGAACCTGTACCCTCAATTAAGGACATCTTACAAATCGCGAGAACTATTGACGGATTTAAAAAATATATTTTTGACAAACTCCTTTTAAAGTCGATCTTTTTCGTACTTTTTTTGCGCTCTTTTTCGCCGGAAAAAATGAAGTTACTCAGTATCTAGTCTAGTTGGCTTTCACGTTCTTTTTAGACCTTTGTTCTTTCAGAAAGTAAGTGTTAAAAACGAATGATCTTGGAATTCTAAGAGACAGAAGTGTCATCTTACTAAAGAAGTTAGGTTGAAAGGAATTAGTGAGAATATTTGAAGGAATTTGACTGGCTGTACCGAATTCAAAGGAAGGACGGCTCTGTAAATTAACACTATCTATGCTCTAAAAGTTACTTAATTTTTTCACAATATTCCTGCTAGGAAAACCGTCAAAATACTTCACCACAAAGCTTTCCCAAATGTTTTTGAATGAACTGTGGTTTTTTTTTCACTTACATTCTGACGTCCAAGACATACTTGTATTTTCAACATTTAATTGCTTTGAGATATTCATTATCTTTGTCTTTGAAGACTAAATTAAGAGGGGCTTTGAATTAGCCAAAGAAAACGACCAAACAAAGCCTAGTGGTTTTTGATTTCCCTGGAATGTCCAAGCAACTCCGTTTTCTAAAGTAATCATTTTTGTTATCATTCTGTAATGTCTTCACAATCGATAGTCTCTAAAACACTTCAAATTAACGAGCTGTTCTCCTTCAATTGGTTTTAATCAATACAAATGACCCCCCTCTTAGAAAAACCTGAAATAAGCGAGGTGGTTCGTGACGAGCTCATCAACCCAGCAAGCCAAAAACACCAGTTTATAACAACCATTATTTCTTGGGTTTAATCAAAACTATTCAAGATGAAGCCAATGGAATTGTTAACAGTAATAACACTTAATATTATCTCAAAGTTGAAACCCAAAGGTTACACGAAACCACTTGTCGTACTCCTTAAGAATCAAGAGCTTCTAGATCTTTCGTTAATTCATTAAGAAGTTAGAGTAAAGGGAAGGTTTGGGCGTTTCTTCTTAGGATTAATTGCATTTGGGGAGTGGTCTTCCTAGTTTTCTTTCCATCAATTTCTATCGACCAAAAACTCAAAAATTTCCCAGAACCTAGAAGGAAATTAACAGTAGTATTTTCCAACTTCGTCGGCTGTGTTACCATTCCATACTGGCTTAGTTTCTTTTGAAACCAGCTTTACTTTTACAACCAAACTAGTTCTTTTACTTTATTATGTAAATGGCGATATATTGAGGTCATTTAGCTGAGTTGATGGCTCCCCCGGTCTGTGTTAGGAACCTGTCTGTTTGACGAGGCGTGCGAATCTACCGAGCTAGCTACTAGTTTACTCACTTAATACTTAAACTAAGGCGACACGCCGAGATAAGTCCTAATAATTGAAGCAAAAAATAACCTTTTTATATGCAAAACGAGGCCAAAACGACCTATAAATTAGACATTTGCGACAACATTTATAGAAAATGATCCGGCCGGCAACTAAAATAAATTTTTTGACTGACTGACTCGTAATTTCGATAATAAATCGGTATTTGATGGACATCTTACTGTCATCCTTCTAGTCAAAATAATTACAATTTCTTTATATCATTTTTGTTCGATATTATCTGAAACATCGATGGCGGGTTGTTAGGTTATTTAATGTACTTTGTTAGAGCTGTGTGTTTATCTATTCGTTCATAGTTTCAAACCAAAAAAATGGCGCACCTTGGATTAGTGTGAGCTAACTTCTTTATTTGAAGCTTGTTCGTGAAGCACGCGTCCACAACATATATATTTAAAAAATTGTTAAAATACAAATCCAAAGTAGCTTTCCTACTCTCTCGTTTAGTATTCGTTTCATTTATTTTAAGAAAATTAAAATTTCCGAATGATGCCCAAAATTTGAAAAACTAAATATTTTTCAATCAATGTCTTTCAACTTTTCTGATTCCTAAGAAAATTGTTATTGCATGAGAATAGATTGAATTGACAGCGCGAATTCGTCAAAGCAGATGCAGGCGTTCAATTCTTTAATTTAATTTCATCCAATTTCTTTGCTAAACATTTGTCTATTATATTCAATTAAACTTTGCCCATTCTCAATAYCTGGCTGGCAATCAGATGAATGGGCTCTAACACTTCAAATAAACAGCGTTCTGAAATTATCTGCATGGGCAAGCTGTTATATCTATGCCAAGTCTAATATAAATACATAGACTCTCCGATTATTTGCAAACTTGAGAAATTTTGACCCAGTACAAAAAAGGCGGGAAAATCTAATTTCTCATTTTAGTATTCAATTTTTGTTTTCTTGTTTTTCGGTTCGGTATCACGAGTTTTAATGATTTCCAAGCCTTTATATTTGTGTGAATTTTTTATAGGAAGAAAAGGTGGGTTTATATTCGAAAAATAAATATTTAATAAAACATATAATCAGAAAAAACGCGAAATAGTCGATCCTTATTCATGTTATTTTGTTCTTCCTCATCAATTGAAGTACCAAAAAATATATATTCAATTTAGACAATTTCCAGAACTAAGCATAGTTAAAAACGCTTTATCCATCATTTTAACATCCACATGAATCGAACAGTTTCTCATTCTTTGAAAATTTTATGACTTCAAATATATTGCGTTCTTAAACTATGCGAGAATTTTTTATCGGATTTTTCTCGAAAAAAGCAACAAATATTCTATTCGTTATTAAACTAAGACGTTAATGATAGAATGTTTTACTACTCATGAGCAAAAGGCTTTCTGCGTTTAAAAATTGGGCAAAACTTCTTCATATTTATAGTCGTAGTTTTCCAAATTATCTTAGTAGCCATATATATTGTACTTCAATACTATTCTTAAATATCAAAATAGATATATATCTATCGATATAGTCTTAGTCTTAATACGTTTTCCCCACCGAAAATCAAGAATGACGTACAGCTAAAGCATGGCCTATTGCTGTTATCTGCACATCTCTGTAGTCAACTTTGGTGGCCATAGTCTCCTAACTTCTTTTTTTATTTGTACTTTTAATGAAAATTTCGTCAGATGTCAAATGGGGACTGGATTAATTAAAAGAGGTTTTTTTCGTTAGTAATGACGAAAATAGTAAAAGATGAGACTAACGACTTTTAGGTAGGGAGTACAGAGTGTGAAATATCGCTTTCATATAGCTTTTTTCTCGTGTCACTTTTAACATTTTTTGATGTCTTGTTACTTTTCGCTTTATATAATACGCGTTTTAATTTTTCTAGCCATTTTCTGCCTTTGTTTGCATTACCAGTTTTAAGTTAGAATTGATTTAGCCTATGAGTAGTGAAAACAAGACACGAAAAAACATGGAAGCATGGCTAAAGTTAGTAAAATATATGACAAAGTACTGGGGAAAAATTCATTTGGCGAAAAAAGAATTTGTGCTCCAACGGAGTGCATGGCGCCTTCGTACTTAGTGTGTAATCGAAAATTACTGTGCCAAAAATATACCATTTAAAAATTCTGTAGCTCACAAATCCTTGTTATTTAATAATTGATAGAGATAGGCTAGCACGGTTAGTATACATTTTTTTAATTATTCCGTGCAAATAATGCTTATTTGATTTGAGTGAAGGAATTCCAGATGAAGTTTTGCCAATTATCAGATCGCGTAGAAGTTATGAAGCCAAACTTTCTTTCTTTTTTATCATGATATCATCTTTGAGAATAAGATATATTGAAATGGCGGCAAAACGGGCACGTGTTTGAGGATAATCAAACATAATTTTTGTTATTGTTGAATTTATTGATGAAAATCGCCCGCCCTTCACCGTCTATGAAAAACCATTCGGCCCATTGAAGGCAGGCTTAAATCGTAAACTCCAAACCATCCCAGCTGCAAAGGCGCCAAACTTTAAGTCTTTGAAATCTCGTGTATTTTGTTTATCGATTAGGAAAATTTTCCAAAGTAATTATGATAATTTATCCCATTATACGAATTAGACTTGGTATCAATTTTGATTAAGGATTCTCTTATATATCTTAGAAACCCTATGGTTTTATTGTATCTTTTTTAAATTGATTAAAAATGTATTCTCAATTTCTATTGCTTTGAATTTCATTGACTTCAAAAGTCTAATTGAATTAATTTAGACTTCAATGAGAAAGGATTTGTACAGTACTCGAGAAGGAATATAATTATTTTTGGGGGTAAGAAATGGCTTGAGTTTGAAAGAAAAGCTGGTTTAATCGTTTAGTTTGTCTTTAAGCAGCATAAAAGTGAGAGAAAACTTCAAATACAGTTACTGGGACTAAGATATTAAGGAATAACTAGAATTGAGTTAGGTGATCTAAACATGGTTTAAGATTGAATTTACTAGTCATTAACGTGCATTTATTTCCGCATTCGCGAATCATTTGAATCTATCGCAAAATATTTCAGCCGAAATATTTTTGCAGGAACAATTTATATACCTTCTATATATCGGAAATAATGGAAGAACAAAAGAAAGAGCTTCGCGTTAAGCTAATATAACTACGAATATAGATCAATGTTTCTCTTGATAACCATTTTTAAATAGATAAAAAAAAAAAAAAAAAAAAAAAAAAAAAAAAAAAGAAAGCCATTTTTTATTTGCGACCGGAAACTTCTTTTTTGAAGTTTTGCCCAAAAAGTGTAGGATAACTTTCCTGTCAAGACGTTTTTGTTTTTCACAGGTTTTTGCCGTTGATTGGTTTGGAAGCCATTTAAAGGCCACTATAAAGCGTCTCATTTAAAACTTGGGGAAAGAGAACATGAAAGAAAGTAAAATTTTTTTTAGTGCTTTCCAGCTCGTAATATCCCTCTCCCAAAAATATTTTTTGAAAATAAAACGGCTTACTAGTAAGTTCAAACGTATTTTGCTTAGCAAATCCAAAATAATTAGCTGAAGGCTTCACGCTTGTGCAACTAACTTGACCGGATTTGCTTGGTTTATCTTCAAACGTTAGTTAAAGATCAACATCCTGAGAGTTCTGTTGATATCTACTACATTACGTATTGTTTGATGCCGGTTAAGTATTTTTCAGTGGGAAATGGCGGACGCCACTTGATCATTGCCATAACGCGCGGGAGTACATAGTACACGTATGAGATGAAATCACGTGATCGATTCTAGCCAATCACATGGTTAGATTTTAATTAGCGTACAAAGTTCGAAAATAGAATTCAGTACTGCGGTAATATCAACATTTTTCTTTTCTTTTCAGATGAAATGCCTTCTCCCAAATCAAGCGCAGACCTAATCTTCTCAAAATTCACTTACGGAGGAATATCCGAGACACAGACACCGCTGACCAAACCACCCAGCGCACTGCCAGACGGATTTCGCTTGGTTACTGTTACCATGGGAAGGGGAATCCATTATGCTATTTTTTGCAATCAGAAAGTGATTATGAAGGGAACGCGTTTTGGTCCTTACACAGGTTACCTGGTGAAGCCTGGTGATTTGAGTGCTGGGGAGGACAACCCGCATATGTGGGAGGTAAGTTGTGATCTCGCTCACTTTGGTCCCCCTCTTTCCAGTTAGAGGGGGAGAACTTATAATTGGATTTTTCGCACCAACACGCCCCACTCCTTGCTGTGGGACTTCCACTACTTCATTGATCACAAAAGCCTATTGGATTGTCATAGAGCTATGTACGACTATTTCAAAAAACGTTGTCATCGCCAAAGGCGATAGGTCATTCCGAGACGGAAATGGTTTCATGGACTACAAACAATATCGAATCAGTCTCAACACTAAGGTATATGTTCTTGACCAGAATAATACGATGTTCTTGGAATTACCTATCTCCTATCGCTTTTCGCCTATCGCCTTTGGCGATGACGTTTTTTTGAAATAGTTAGTAGATGTATATAACGATCTTAACGAACATTTGCATGGGCCAGTCTATGTCATTATTATCTAGAATATCTCAGAATACAAAACTCTGATCGCAGAAAATTGATTATAAATATTTTCAATTGTTTACTATCCTGTGAAAAGAATAGAAAATTGCCTTGTAGTATTCTTTAAAACAGATACTGTGTTGTTATTTGTGAGATAAGATTTCAATTCCACTAGGAAAACGGCTGCAGCGGTCTAAGTCGGAACTATGCATTTAGTTTTATCTTGTCAAACATTGATGTAGTCCCTTTTTTCCAATAATAAAGGTGTTCAAGAACAATCGATTAAGTTACTACATCGATGGCACTACAGATGACGACAACTGGCTCAAGTTTGTTAACTGCGCGCGTCAGAGTATAGAACAAAACCTTGCTGTTGTCCAAGAAAATGATAAGATATATTATGAAGCGAGTAGAGATATCTTTTGTGGAGAAGAGCTGTTGGTTTGGTATGGAAAGACCTATGAGATGTACATGGGCATTCCCGTAGGGGTTGCACCGACGGCAACTAAAATTACCGAAAACAAAAAGGAAATCCAGAAAGGTAAGCCATGGTCTAAGGTTTCTTTTAAAAAAAAAAGAATTAAAAAAAAAAAAAAAAAAAAAAAAATTAAATTAAAAATAGAGTAAATAATTATCAATGAAATTTCAAAAATGTTTTTTTTTTGGTGACACTGAGCTTTCGCGAGTGTTTTTGTTTGAGGTCCGTTCATTTACGGTTAGCTTTAACATCTATGGATCGTTGCGCAAACAATTGCGCAAATTACGACAGTTTTCGTATGACTTTGAAAAGTTCAGGGCAAGAACACGGTCGTGACACAGCAAGGGATACGCCAGACCAATCACATTGCACGAGAATATACTCTCCATCCAATCAAATACCCGGAACACGACATAAACACGGCGCAGACACGGTCACGCCAAGATCACGGCACTTTTAGACCAATCATATTGCGCGTGAAAAAATCAGCCAATTAAAATTCTAGAAAGTCACGGTCACGGCACGTAACGCTTACGGCACTGAGTTTTTCACAGCCATACGAAAACTGCACTAATGTGAAAAGATAGACTAACTTGACTGGCTCTAAATCTTATCCAAGACCTCAAGTGTACGCATTTTCCGTAAAGCGCTGTTATTGGATATATCATACTGCAAATTTTGGGAAGCCGTTTCAATGTTCCAATACGTTATGTAGGCGCTCTAACAGATCATCAGAGGATATTTATCGTATTTGAAAACCGCTGTGTCTCACGCTTAACTGCGTAGACAAAGAATGCCTGTTAACTCACTTCCTGCATGGCTCGATGTAGGAGAAGATCTTAAACTAATTATTTTTTCTGGTCATGTTTCAGGTACAACTGGTAACTATTACTGCGATCGTTGCAATAAAGTCTTTGCATACAAGTACTACCGTGACAGACACCTCAAGTACACAAGATGTGTTGATCAAGGTGACCGTCGATTCCCGTGCTCGTTGTGTGACAGATCGTTCGACAAGCGTGACAGACTACGAATTCACGTTCTTCACGTCCACGAAAAGCACAGACCTCACCAGTGCACGGTGTGTGACAAACGCTTCTCGCAGTCTTCCAGTCTCAATAAACACATGCGCGTACACAGTGGAGAGCGACCGTACAGATGTCCTCACTGTGAGAAGGCATTCACGGCGTCTTCTATCCTGCGCACGCATATCAGACAACACAGTGGCGAGAAACCATTCAAGTGCAAGCACTGTGGACGCGCATTTGCTTCACACGCCGCGCATGACAGCCACGTGCGTCGTACACATACCAAAGAAAAGCCATGTGTGTGTGAATATTGTGGAAAAGCCTTTGCGCAGTCATACGAGCTGAAGTTTCACATCAACATGCATACTGGAGCTAAACCATACACGTGCGAGAAATGTGGTCGGGGATTCTCRAGCCCTTCGTCTCGTGATCGTCACCGAGCGAACTTCGATTGCACCACGAGGAAAAATCGAGCTCCGAAGGTGATGAGGAAAAGCAACCAGCTGATTGGACAAACGACAAACACGATCATCAAACAGCAGATTTCTGAAGAATTGTAAATTGAATACAGACGCGTTTGCAGTCGTTACATTGATTTTCCTACTCGCAATTGATTTTGGGAAGGAGGATTACGCAACGCTTATTATTTTTCTTCCCTTGATCCCTTTTGCGCTCAGTTGATTCTTCCCTTAAATTATAGAGAAGCGACTGGGAACCATTCCGAAATAAATACATCATATAAATTTATCACGCTTTCAAAAGCTGCAAATTATTCTCATTTTCGTACTGTACGCATGTCAAGCGAAAATGTATAAAACACTTCAAATAGAATTAAGAAGTACCAAATAGAGGCTTCAGAAATAACTCGATCGAGGACGAGTTCAGAAATAATATTGTCTATTCTTGCATTTTTTCATAATAAAATGTTTATGAATTCAAAATCAAAAAAATCTTATAATCAGTATTTTTTGCTTTACCAAAATCTCACTTTCTTACTGCGCATGCTCGATGAAATACCAGTGAATACCTTATGTACGTGCTCGTACTATACTCTAAATATGCTTCTGGTTTAAAGTACACCTCTGATTCAATATATTCTCATTATTGATTCTACCAAATGTGGATTGTTGAATGGCAATGTTTGAATTTCTGTGACACGTTAAGCTTCATTCATTAAATATACAATATTTACTCGTTTACTCAATGAAACAGCATCTATAAAGTACGATTCATTTACTCGTACTTTACTTAAAACGTATCATAATAAAATTGTTTTCTCGTTATGGTGTTACAACAAATAAACAAGATTGACTTACCCCACAACTTGACTACAAAAAAATCGAAATTCTTGAAAGTAATTGTTGTCTTGCCTAATACGATGTCTTCGGCCGACACAAGTATACCATTGAAATGTTTAGAATATTAAGATGAAGCATTGCTTTTCATACTACAACTCACTTAAATAGGATATTCTTCCCAGAGCTTGTTTCTCGGCGCTGACCAAGAGTAGAGCAGCCTCTGGTGACAAAGTTTTGACTTGAAATGTATGCGCGTGCTCATTTGTCTTTCTATCGATTTGGTGTAGCTAGACCACGTCTGCCTTGTGTTAAAATCCAGTGTTGGTAAATACGTTACGCAGACCCCATGCACTTCGCAATTCGTACTTGCTACTCTCCTACGCAGTTGCTACTAGTATCGTCACTCTACTTTATCGGAGATTAACAATGTTCAGAATAAATAAATAGATGTCGATAGATCGAGGGGTACACGCTGGACGTAGAACCGGCAAATGCTTCATTAGGCAAATGCTTCATTAGACAAAAGAAATAGATGGATCAAAGTTCGTCACTAGTTCTCAAGTAATCTGACTAGCTCTCACGATTATTAGTGCTGATTCACGCCGGATTAATTACACGTTACTATGTATAGAAGGAAATGCAATGAGTTATCAGATTGCCACTGATCACAAAGCGAAAACTTAAAGAAAAGGAAGCAGGAATGAGAGGGGAGGGGAAACAAGAATTGTTTCGTTGAAAAACTAAATCAAAGGAAAGTCCTTTTTTCACGGGAATTTTAGGTATTATTTACTAATTAAACTCGTAGCCCGGAATAGTAGGAGCGATGATTGCAATAAATAAAATAGAGTAAACAGAATATAGGATTTATAATGGTCTACAAAGATAACCTAAGTGTCTTTTATGAATAGCACTGATTGCGAGCCAGACGCACGATGTTCAGCCTAGGATTGTCGAATAACTCCCCAACCCCCCCCCCCCTCCCCTGCTGCGCCGCAAGGAAGATCGTCCTGTTTCACGAGAGATAAGAAAATGAATCTGGTAATTATGGTAAAACGTTATATAATATAATTAATGCAAGTTTATCGAGCATCCCAAGTAATAGTGTCATATTATTGTAGCTGTGTTTTGCAAGAAGCTCATTAAGTTTAAAATCAATTCTTTTGTCTAGTTTTCTAAATTGCAGTAATAAGGCACTAAAATGCGTTCTTCCCATCACATATGCCATCATCTGTCGTTTTTGTCGTCTTACTAGCTTTCTCTTAGAAAAGCCATAACTGGTTATAACCACTGTCGTCTCTCATGGAATTCTGGGTCAAATTTTAACCCACAATTCAACGCCATAGGAGTTCGTTTACAGGAGTGGTTGCTGAGTTCTAAAACATGTCTGTGTCTTCAGGTGCATCAAGGTCTCTGTATTGAACGATTTGTCTTGGTTCTCTGGGGTGCCCCCTGTAGGAAAAGGAAACAATTATGACGTCAACTGGTAAATCTCACACGCCAGTTTTACGGTATATTATTGGAGGTGGAAGAGGAGGGGTGGGGTTGGGGTGTGAAAAATTCACTGACCCTGTAAAAGGGGGGTTTTTGAGATAATTGATGAGTTACATATTATAGGAGAGGCTTCAAGTCACGGCAAGGCACGCATACAGCACCGACTTATTCGCAGTCATACGAAAACGGCTCTAACGAATAATTTTTGTGGCTACTGCCAAAGACAGCGCCGCAGCAGCGCATGCGCAGTTGTCTCTTACTCCATGTTGACCCATTCTAGATTCATCGCATCAATCTACCAAAGCATTGTACTTATTTTTATAAAAAAATTAGGAAAACGTTCCAAGTAGGAAAATACTAAAGAAAATATGACGCTGATGTAACGCGCAAGTAGACTGTGAAGGGAAAGGTTGTGTGATCCATGACGTGATGTCATCAAACGACCTACAGAGTAAATGCACTCCACAACTCGAAGAAAGTCGTGCAATATCAGGGCTGATGGATGCACTTAAATGATATAAGTATAAAATAACTGTTATGAATTTCGCGTTCTGATTGGTTGGGAGTCCGTGGTTTATGAGAGCACACAGCACGAGCGCGCGTTTTCTATTTCGTCAGTATGAAAGGGTTTGGTCATCCAGTCGAATTACAACATAAATACAAGACCAGACCACGGGTGTTTTTCGCAGAGCGTAACCGTTGATAAACTATCTCCAGTATGCCATTTGTTTTTACACTTATACTGCACTTAGATTTGTTTGACTCTCTCTCTCTCCCCTCCGAGAAATACAAGTTCTGGTGAAATAAAACTAACCTCTCTTGCTGCCTGAATCGTCCGGCAGCGTCTCCAAATCTACAACATTAAATATTGCTATTAAATCGTGCACAAATCAATCAACGGAACACAAAACCCTTGTTGGGATTTCTCCTGATAATCAATTAAACTACTTTGTATTTCTAGAAAATGTGGTAATAAGACAAAACAGTGCTCGTAAAATGCTATTTGTTTGATGATTAGAACCATCCAGTGCGCGTCACGTGCATAATATTCAATCATGATGATATTTTCAAAGATCTAGATATGCGTACCTTCTTGGTTTTGGCGGGAAAGTGTGCCCTCCACCTCCTCGTCCGTATCCTTCAGGGCCAAACCCTCCTCCGAAAGATGGTGGTGTGTAAGGAGCACGAGGACCTGCCATGTAATTGAAAGATTATTGTAACAATGAGAGAATTGTCACGACCTTCCAACAAATAAGGATAAAAATAAAGAGAATATTTGTCAAGAAATAGTCAACTAAATTAATAAATTACTGGTAATCCTCTAACACTGCTTCCTGGCCATGGTTTATTGTGCGTGCGTAATGAATGCCATGCTGCTACAACAAAGAAGGTCGTTCAGTGTATCCATCCCTGCGAGGTTGCAGAGTTGAAATGACGTCAAAGTTGGAGGAAAGGCAAACGGTGCGATCTCCCAAATCGCATTCAATAAGGCATCCTTGCCCGCACCTTTTCGACACCAAGAATACAGCTGAAAACAAATTATCTGGGAACAAAGGGTTTGGGATAGGTGCGTGACTTACCATACATCATCATGTGGGGTCTGGGACCCCATCCCATCATGCCTTGCCCTCCATCGTGTTGCTGTCCAAACATCTGCCCTCCCATGTGTCCCTGGGGACCAGTTTGTTTCTGCATCACCTCGAGGTTCTGAGGTCTTCTGGGGTCTGACAAATAACGGTTAAAAAACTCGGCCTGGAAAGATGAATAACATGGACCATTAAAATGATCTTCCACAAGATTGTAACACACATTCAGTATGCTTTCAAAAATGGGCTATGTAATAAAGTCCTCATCATTATCATAATCTGAATGGTGCCATTAAAGAAAGAAATGGTACTCAAGGGAATTATATATGGTATAAAATAGGGAAAGATGATTGAAAAAGTCAGTGAAACAAATATAAAAAGTAAAGTGAGAGAGTGTTTGTAAAGAATCTTACCTCTAGCCTTACAGCTTCAACTTTCTCTGCATGTTTGTTAAATATGTGTTTTCTGACAAAGTCTGGTCCTCTGAATTTCTTCCCACTGAGTGGACATAGCCACTTGTCTTTTGCCAGCTCTTGGGTGTTGGCTTCAACAAACTTTTCAATTTCAGTGAAAACAGTCAAGAAAAACAAACTCTTTTTCGACACAAAAAGATCTAATAGATAGAAAATACGTACTTTGATAAGGCAAGTGACTTGGTACATAAGTAATGTATCATTAGATTATTATTATAATTATCATTATTATTATTCCACAAGATTGTAACACACATTCAGTATGCTTTCGAAAATGGGCTTTGTAATTAAGTCCTCATCGTTATCATAATCTGAATGTTACCATTAAAGAAAGAAATGGTTCTCAAGGAAATTATACATGGTATAAAATAGGGAAAGATGGTTGAAAATGTTAATGACAACAAATATAAAAATAAAGTCCTCAACATTATTATTATCTGAATGTTACCATTAAAAAAAGAAATGGTTCTCAAGGAAATTATATATGGTATAAATAGGGAAAGATGATTGAAAAAATCAATGAAACAAATATACAAAGTAAAGTTAGAGAGTGAGCAGTAACCCCACACACCTTCATTTCTACTTTTCTCAAGTCATTGTAGTTTAGGTTTCAATCATCATTTGGAAGCTCTGATGTAAAAGGTGGACATGTGCCTGGGTCAATGAACAGCCAGGTCAATGAACTGAAAGAACTAAATTCTCCCCTACGTTTGATTCGTGAATTAATCATCGACATTGATATTCAACTGAATAAAAGGATATGCTTCAGGGTCTTTTTTGCCGAGTTTAGTAACTTCCTCATCACTAATGGATCCTTTTTCTTGCATGAACGGTTCTAGTTTCTGTTTTAATGTCTTCTGCCATTCTTGTACTAGTAAACAAAACACACTGGTATTTCAGGATTATATCAGAAGTTATAATGTTCGTTAAATATGATATGTGATGCGAGGTGAAGTCATGTAATGCAAAACAATGCAGTGTGTCGTGATGTAATGCGGTGTGGTGTAATGTAATGCAGTGTGGTGTGATGTAATGCAGTGCCATGATGTAATGTGGTGTGTTTTGATGTAATATGGTGTGTCATGATGTAATGTGGTGTGTCATGATGTAATGTGGTGTGTCATGATGTAATGTGGTGTGGTGTGATGTAATGTGGTGTGTCATGATGTAATGTTGTGTGTCGTGATGTAATGTGGTGTGATGTAATGCAGTGTGGTGTGATGTAATGTGGTGTGGTGTGATGTTATGCAGTGTGGTGTGATGTAATGTGGTGTGATGTGATGTAATGTGGTGTGATGTGATGTTATGTGGTGTGATGTAATGTGATGTGGTGTGATGTGGTGTGG